AGGAAAACCGAGTAAACGATAAAAACGATAACAAAATAACGCTGAAAACCGATATAACTCTGAAAACTATACATTTCGCACCTGAGCCTCAACTCTCGCGGCCCGGTACCAAACGACTCACGGACCGGTACCAGTCCGAGGCCCGGTGGTTGGGGACCGCTGCTTTAAAGGATGCGTCTCTCACGTTACTTTAAATGGTTTTAATTGCATCCAAATTAAATGTAGCTGGATATTAAAACTTGTTTTGGTACTAACTGAAACATAGCAGGAGAAAAATTAGCAGATACTTTAAGTTGGTAGTGAGATTCAGTTCAGCTCAGATTTGTTAAAAATCTGGTGTTACTGCTTGTTTATAAACATTTTACATAAGTAAAGGAATCATCATAAGATGAAAAGCAGTTCTTAATCTGTACGGTATTAAAGAAACTTATTTTTTTAACTATTAACTGTTACTAAACGAAACAAAAACATGATTTATGGTCTAAAAACAAGGCAGAGCTGAAGTTTTGGTTACTTTCCAAATAAACATGCAGCCAGTAAATGTGTCTGTGTATGCCTCTGTTTCTCTCTCACACACACACTAAGGTCAACAGGCCACACATACACCTTGACCACAATTTGGTCAAAACCTCAATTTGCATCCAGAAAGCCACTTCCATGATGGCAGACTAACGTAAACCCACATCCTGGAGCGCTTTCCTTCTCTCATTTCTTCTCTTTCCCACTCTCTCCTTTTATTTCTCTATGAAATACAAACACCACCATTCCCCTTGCTTAATCTCTGCCCCCCAGCCCTTTAACCTGCTCCCTGATTGGTTGTTTGTTGCTCTGTCATACAGGTGAGAGAGGTTTTGGTTTGGGGTTGTGGGCAGGTTGGCCTCAGGTTCGGAGGTTGGCTTCAGACTTTAGGTTGATTTTAGGTTTTGGGGTTTAGTCTGGTTTTAGCCTCTCTGACCACCAGCATCACCTCTCTGCAGCCCACACACAACACAAGGTGAGTATAGCAAAAGACACACAACACAAAGGAGGCTGCAGCAGGCATGTGGCCTCTTTAGAAAAAAAAATCCTTCAGTAAGAATTTAAATATGACAGTTTTACGTGTAGTACTTCTAAAAAACCTAAGCAGAAAAAGTGACTTCATATTAGAAACTAGGTCAAAAAGTAATTTGTTATGGTACCGGAGTTGTCCAGTTGTTTTTAACTTAACAGTTTTAACTAACAGTTGCTTTTAATAGTTGTTTTTACTACATTTTTATTTTTAAAGATCTTTTTCCACTTTCATTGATTTATCCACTAATTATTTCCTCGACAACGATGATTTCAGAAAATGGTGAAAAATGCAGAATATTTATTAATGCTGAACCTTCCTGATTATTTCTTCTTTTCTAACTAAAAGGTCCAAAATCTAAATATATGGAGTTTCTTGTCACTTAATACAACAGAATGTGATTATTTTAACCTAGAAATAAACTAATAATGAAAGAGTTGCTAATAAAAACTGATAAAACATTACATTCTGTATATACTGACCTACTGTCACTTACTGTGAATTTGTAGGAATGTTAATTAGATTTCTTATTTTTTTTCTTTTGTGCAGAGCAGTACTTTTGTCCATCAGTCATATTGACTGGTTGTGAATGTAAAGGTTAACTAAATGTCTAGAGACTTCAAGTCTGAACTGATTATCACTCGTGGCTCATGTCTCTGGATACGAGCCATTTAATTTCATACTTTTATGTTTTTGTTTTTCGTTTGTTTTGCTTGACATAAAATCAAATGTTACTTAAAGTTATACTTTATCAATTTAAAAAAATTAATTTCTTGAAATTCTTCTGAACTCTTTGTACAAATGTGTTATATAAAATATTGAAATGAAGGGCTATGTGCTGTTTTCAGGCATCTGTTTTGGATTTGCAAAGTGTCATTAACCACAATGCTAATATTGTGGCTCTCTCCTTTAAAAAACAGGTTTCCATGGCTTCAAACAGTCTGTTCAGCAGCCCCAGCCCAATGCTGTACTGGGGTGAGACTCCTTCTCTTTGTTTGTTTGCATGTGTGTGTGTGTGTCTTACATCATGCTCTGTAGCTCTGGGATAAAATTGATCCTGGAAGCTGGACGGTCTTTAGAGCTGGAGGGGGCGGAGCCAGCCATGGGACTGCTCATAACCACACCCACCTGATGACAAAACCAAGACAGAACCACATTAAACTAGAGAGCAAAATTAATCTTTTGAGTGAAGAAAAGATCTAACAATATTTTAACTTTTGTTCTCTTTCTCTTTATTTACTATAAGGTATACTTTGACTATATATAGTCAAAATATACTATATCTTCTTATATCATCTATTGACTGTACAAGAAGAGAACACCCCCAATATAAATGTCTGTGTAGGTTCTCAGTCATCAACATCATCGTAGAAGGCAGCTGGACCTCTTTAGGATTTTAAAGCAGTTTCGCCTCTCAGCCTCCTGAATGATTTCTGATAGCAGTGTTGAATATTCTACTAAAATCAGAGCGTGTTATAGGTTTCTTCTTTTTCCCCTCCTTAATAAGGAATGAAATAAGGAATCTCGGTTAATTCTGAAAGCCTGCTTTGGGTCATTACTGCAGACTGAAAAGTCATTCTGTAAGTTAGTGTTCTGGTGTATCCACAGGCATGCTAACATTCATGCAGCTCCAAACACTCTGTCTGTTAATGCCGGCCAAGTTAATGCCAATAAAGTCCCAAGCTGAACAAAGTAACATTCATCTCATCTGCTTGAAACTTCTGAAAAGTTTCATCTTCAAGTTTAGTGCCAACGACCATAACTTAATTCACACATGTGGATGTTATGTGCCGTCCTTTTCCCTGTCTGAATAGAGACAGAAACTCAGCTACCCTGTATATCTGTATAGAACAGCTAAAGCAGCTCCAATTAGAAATACTGCAGCTTTTTTAGCTTATTTTTTCATCCTGATCGCTGCTGCATCTGAGATTGATCCTCCTGCATCATGTTTTTATCTATGTGAAGGAACCTGCTGGTTCATTTTACGGCTTTGCACGGCTTTGTTGCACTTGGTCTCTACTTGACAGATGTGTGTGTGTGTGTCTGCTTTATACAGTGTGTGTGTGTGTGTGTGTTTCAAATGATATAAATAACAATGCTACACTTGTTGTTCACTTTCATGTGGTTTTAGTATTTTGGGATCACTTCATCTAAACAAATCAGAGCACAACAGAAGCCGAGCCAAGAGCCTAAAACAACAAAATAGCAGAACAGAGCTTGGGATAATAAACACAACGTCCTAACACATGTTCACACACATACATAAATATAAAAACACACATACACACTCCTACAGTTGGACAGGTGGTGTGACCGCAGTAACTTCCCCTCCGGCAGTAAAATATGAATAATAATACAGCGCAGTTCCCTCATATTCAAACACTGCGGTGGCTGAAACACAATGCAGAAAAGAAAGAAAGGAGAGGCAAGAGGAGGGGAGGCGACGAGGAGAACCAAACACACATAGAAAAGCATAAAACAAGTAAAAACTCTCACCAGAGTCTGTCAGAGAGACGCTATTACTGTTAATGTTCTGGTTTTCTTCTGTTTTCGGCGCGATTTGATGACGCAAGGGAGCGCGAGGGTGTGGTAGTTGTAGTTTTCTACACGTCCTGGTCGAAAGGCGCTACACTCCAGCTATGAGCTGTTAAATACAAGGTTAGCAGCTGAGATTAGAGTTGAAGAAGATACACAGCTTAAAGGGGAAGTGTTTATACTCGAATCAGTACTCAGAATTTTAACATATCCACCATAGCGACACAGCTTTAGCAAAATATGCTGTATATCTTTGAGCGCTCTCCTGCGGCAATCTCACCTGTATGGAGGACCAAACGGTCCAAAATTAAAAAGTAAATAAATTTATATAATTAGTAATGATTTTACGATACACATTTATGTATACAAATATAACTGGTGTTGGAGTGCTTTAGATTGAGGCAGTAGCTACAATAGCTAACCCTTTATTTAAATTGCTATCTAATATGACTCTTAATACAGTCTGAATCTAAGACTGACTTCAGGAAATAAAAATATATTCAAGTCTAAAATGCATGTAATCTCAGAGAAAAGAACAAAAAATGAAAGACAAAATGGGATAAAAATTGACTTCTTTATTCCTATTGTTAAGATCCTGTGGTGAAGTGCCGCCTGTCACCATCAGCCAGCACTCGTCAACTGGATGAACAGGAGCTGAGGTGTCTCCACCAGTGCAGTACAGCTCCACCCAGAGGACTGGTCCCGACCGACAGCCCAAATTTCCTCTGCAGCAGCCTGCCTCAGCACTGGAGGTGTAATAAAACACTACCAAGAGCCTTTACTGTGAGTAATCTACATATACACTGGTGCTATTTTTAAACCAAAATACAGTTTATTCATACTGAAAGAGTAAAAATCCTCTGTTCACAAAGATAAAAGACCTGTTACAATGTTTTTTTTAATTTCTCAGGTTGTTGCCCTGGGGAACGATGTGCCTGATGGCGTGGTTGTGACAGTGATGGCTGGCAATGATGAAAATGTTAGCGCCGAGCTACGTAATGCCACAGCCACCATGAAGCAAGGCTGTGCCCACTTCAACGACCTCCGCTTCATCGGCCGCAGCGGCAGAGGTATACAAACAGATACATGCAGCACTGTTACAAGTTATTCATACT